GGTAATAGATTCAGAAAACATCAGAAAATAGAGAAAACTGAACAGGTTGAAAAATATGACCCAAACAAAATCTAAAGATATCTTCACAGCTCCAGGAGAAACTAAATTCAACTTTTCTGCCTCCTAGAGACTCCAAGTACAACAAAATGCATTTAACAGCTAAAAAAGTGGATTTTGCAGGCTATGTCCCCTTCAAGAGAACTTAATTCAAAAGGGTTTGAGACAAATCTGCTGTTATTTCTAGACATTTTATTTCTCACATAAATTTTGAACATGAAAGTCTCTGTGACATGAGTCACTTGACAAGACCCACCCCCTGAATGTTTGGAGACTCCTTCATAAATGTTCACCAACAGTCACAGCCCGTAGAGAAAAAGGCTTCAAGACTTGAACAGAAGGCAACAAACATACTTTCCTTGATTTTTTATTGGAAATTTTCAGAATGTATGAATTTAACACAGTTGCCTTCTGTTTTTTAATTTGTTCTACTACACAAAGAAACATACTTGAAGTTGTGTTTAGAGTTCAGGACTGATTTTAAGTGCATTAAATAAGAACATTAAAAGCTTTTCATTCATAGTACAAGAATAACAGTTTCAGAGAATTGACTGATAAATGAAACATGTGACCCTCTTCTGTAAAACTGCTCTCCTAGTTGATAATGTGATTGTGTCAGAAAAGTGGCAATCTTGTATATGAACGAGTGAATGAGTGCACACATGATAGTCTTTGTTTTGTTTTATCTGGTATTGTTTAAAGAGAAATAAAGGGTGTCCCCTGCTCTCTGAATGGGTGGCTGGTGTATGGGAGGAGGGGGGGAGGGGGGGTTAGACGTACTCCCTGGCTGTGGAAGGCTGTGATTGGCGGTAATATTGCTGTCCTCGCATGTCTTCTTTGGAACAGGAGCAGCACAACAAGGAGCCGCCCAGAATTGTCAGACTCGCCGCAGCCCAACCCACAAACAGGGCGGAGCCAAACTCATACCTGGGCAGGAAAAAGAAAGATGTCACAATCAGTCAAATTAAATTAAAATAAATTAAATAGAATTAAAAAGCTTCTACTGTTTTCTTTTAACTCATYAAACTCTCTGCATTCAGTTAGGATACTGTATATTAGATGTCAGTGTTTTGGAGTAAATCTCATTAAGTTTGGTTTCGGCTACCGCACATTTCTCTCTGGCCTCTAATTCCAAGAAACATGRGTGATGGTTAAACATTCCCCTGCAAACTCAGACATTCCTTTAGGAAGAAAACTCATCAGGAAAGAGCTGACATGTTTTTWATAAAACATTAGTTCTGTGCTTGTGTGAAAAAAAAAACTTATAGATTCCAGAAGCACTTTGGTGTATGTGTGTTAATTCTAACAGAATCACAGTTTGTTATTTGACAGCTGGATTAGAACATGGTTAGTTGGGACATCTGCTGTGAGGAAGCTGGACCCACATCAGTGTGTGTTTCTGGATTTTTGCAGCTGTAAAAAATGTCCATGTCCTTCCTCACTCCCTTCATACCTTCTTCGTCCCTCCATCCCTTCCTAATCCCTCCATCCCTTCATCCCCTCCCCACATTCCTTCATCCCTTCATCTCTTCCTCATCACTTCATCACTCCATCTCCAGATCTCTTTCTTTCACCTCTATCCCTACCTCAAACCACCTCCTAATCCATTCCTTTTCATGTTCCAGCTGCGGGGGTCCAAAGCAGGCTCAGGAAAAAGCTTCCTTTCTGGAGACCATGYCCCACTCTGAGTCTTCTCCTCAAGCCTCCTTCGATGTACCTCCCCAGACGCCTCATCATTCATCCCACTACACTTCGACCCCTTCCTTCATCCCCTTGACCCCTTCCTTCAATATTTAACTCATACCATGGCGCGGTCCTTGCTAGTGAAACACCGCGTGGACACCACATTGTGGCAATCAGTGCTGCTTCTCCTTGATTGGCCGGCAGTTGGATTGAGCACAGCTGCAGCAGGTTCCTCTGATGAGCTCCTTGGGTTTATAAGGCTGCACTGAGAATCTGGAGCAACATGTAGTATACAGTACGATATCTCCAAGCTGTGATGTAAACCTTGTTTACATGAGTTATACTTATCCTGTGTTCAGTTTCCTGACACTCACCTGAAGATCCTCTGCTACCTGCTGGAAATACCCCACACCTGTGGAGACCCACTCGCCTGCCTGTCTGCCTCTTGCTGGTCTGRTAAAGAATCATCTGCTCAATCCTCCAAGTCTGCTGGCCATTTCGCCTGTAAAACTAACCATACCCACCTTTGTGGACATGTGCTCTCTCTGACCCTTGACCCTTGTAAGAAATCATACTCGCCTCTGAACCCTGATTCACCAACCACTAAATAAATAAAGATGACTTACTTTTTTGAATTCAGTCTCCTGRGTCTTCGCTGCTGCTCACTCATCTTTGACTTATTGAAATACGGATACAAATCCCCTTACATCAGTTTAGTGCTCTTTTGATTTCCAAAATGAATAAAAATGTTAAAGTTACAAATATGTCAGAATTTCAGAATTGTGCATGTTTAGGTATATTGGGATGCATGAAAACACCACATTTGATCCTGTCTGCAGGGCAGGGCTCCATTAGAAGCACAGTGCTTGGTATGTGTTGTGGAAAGTTGCTGACACATGAAGAGCATCTTGGGGATGCAGAAAAGTAGCAGGGAAACTTATTTGGCAGGTACTAAGAACAGCTGCATCAGAGTGGGAGAAGGGTTTCTAAATCCAGATCTTTATTTCCAAAGAAATGAAATCCTGAACATGCAGCTGTAGAAGTGAGAACAGGTGGGACGTGGAGGCAGAGGGGCGGGGGTGGGGAGGGGGGATTGTTAGTCTAGTTGTTCTCATGAACAGAAGTCATGACTTTCAAAACATGGTAGTGCAAACGTGTAACACAAAGCTCTCTGAGTGATGGGTCAAGGAGATGGTTAGGATTTTAATGTAGTTTTTGGTGAGTTTTGATGTTGACACATTGTGCTGAGGAAAACAAAAGTTGCAATACAGAACCTGGACTGTTTATGGCCGACAGGGGCAGACAAACAGCTCATTCAAACCAGTGTTTGATGCTTTTTTGTTTTTTATGAAGTTAAAAAGAAAAATGACAAAAGCTATGTACAAGTTGTAAACTTGTTTCCACCTGGAGAGAGGAGGGAAACGGTCTTCAAGCTGCCACTGCTGACATGAAACAACTTCTCTGAAAATTATTTTTCTAACATAAAAAGTTACACAATCTAAAAAGTCCATCACAGATTTTATAGTGAAGGGTTTGTGTCTGCATTCTGTGGTTAAAAGCTAGGGCCTGTTTACTGTTTTGCGCTTTGAACCCACAATTTCACGTTCTAACAGGACTGAAGACAGATGGCTCTAACACGATGCATGGACATCCAGTGTCTCAGAATCTCATATCTCTGAACAAAGCATTTTCACAACTCTCTGGGAGCTGGTCAAGATGCAGCTATGAGCCAACTTATGTACGTAGTTTGATAAGAATTGGTTTGTCCCTCATTCAGCAGCATGAGAGAATAAAAGTGGTTTTATTTGATTACTTACAGTCTTCTTCCTCCTGTATCTGACAGATCTGATCATGATGAAAACACAGAGTGACTGAAGGATGGCTGATGTGCTGAGAACTGGTCTATGGAGAACCTGAACTGGTTTTTATGGTCCTCCTGCTACCATGTTCCTTCACATTCCACCCAATTTATTGTTGCTATTGTGATAAACCACCACAACCTCACCACAGAAGGTGTGACTATCACCTTTTGCCCGCCATAGTGTGAAACCCACTGAGGTTTTAATACAGTATGCTCCTGAAGACCGCAGTAGCCGTGTTTCCATCCAATTTTAGTCTGAGTTTTGAGCTAATTTTTAACATTTCGCAAAAAAGAAAAAAAAGAAGAAATGCGAATCAGATGTGTTCCCATCAATTGGCTTGAAGCAAATCAACCAGGCATGGTTGGCATGGCTTCACGTTACAGGAATAACTGAGAAGACACCAACAGCGGGGGGGGGGGGGATCCAGCTGCAGTCACGGTTACAGTCGCTCTGGTACTGGTACCCGGACAGACAGCGAGAACAGCTGATTAATCATGCGAGGTAAATGTTCACTACGTCAGAATTTTTTTGGCAAATGTGTTTCCATCTCTCCTTTTGTGCATTACCACTTTTTTGAAAAACCCCAAAACCACCTCATGTGAGTGTATCAATTTATTTGCAAATTAGAGGAAGTTTTTTTTAATAGTGCCATTTCCATTCACCTTTTCTATTGCGATACTTCAAACTGCGCATTAAAAAACATTGATGGAAACACGGCACAGTACAGAGACCCACAAAAACCCTCATGGTTCATAATGGGGTATTAGTCCACTGTGATGGGGTGCTTTAACCATTACCAGAAGGGAATGAAAGTGTCTTCTCGCAGGGGACTCCTTCCTGTTTCCAAACAGGTAAATAAATGGTTCATTTTTATTCAGAATCTTTAACTAATCAAATGAACTGAAGTGATGAACCAGGAAATTAAAAAAGTTACATTTACCACCAGGACTTACTGAACTGCTTTTAAAACATGGATGGTTTTGCCAGGGTCTGTGTATGTCTGTTAGCAAAATATCTAAAAGACCACTTATGGATTTTATGTAAACTTTTAGAAAGTAATCATAGATGGATCACTGAATGTAATCGACCTAATTTGACGGCGGCTGTGGCAGAGTGGTTAGGGGAGACGTCCTGGACGTCCACCCAATCTGAATGTTGGTTCAATCCCCCATCCAGCCATCTCAGTTGTGTCCTTGGGCAAGACACTACCCACCTTGCCTACTGATGGTGGTCAGAGGATCTGGTGATGCTGGCACATGGCAGCCTCACCCCAGTCAGTGTGCCCCAGGGCAGCTGTGGCTACAGTGTAGCTTAGCACCATCAGTGTGTGAATGGGCAAATGTCTGTAAGTGYAAAGTGCTTTGGGTTCCGGAGGGACTTGATAAAGCGCTCTATAAGTTCAGTCCATTTACCATTTACCATAATTTCAGATGGACACCACAGCTCGGCATTAACCAAGTTAATTTATTGATGTAAAATCAGATGGTCGTAGCTGAGATTCATCCTCAAAGCATGAAGTGTTAACACATTCCGTCAGATCTTGTGATAAGATCCCACATAACATTTTTTTTCAAGGTTTGACCAAAGCTGCAATAAATCTAAGCCTTCTGATGAGACAATGATGATGATGATGATGATGATGATGATGATGATGATAATGATGATGAAGGAATGCTGGGTTTTCATTTAGTGTGTTTTCAACAAATTTGAAAATCACTAAAATAAACAAACATAACATTCCTTGAAAGAAGGAAGTTTTCTGAATGCTGAGGACTACGATCATGATGATGGAGTTGTAGTCGTGTTATGAATGACTCTCAGCTACTACCACACTAGATTTCAGCTCAWTGTTCAGTTCACTGAGGCTTAGACATTTTCTGTCTGCTAATGTGGATAAACTGTGGTGGCTATCTTCAACTGGGGTGACTCAAAGTTAATTTGTTGTAATTTGTCATTGATTACTTTCTGCAAGTTTCATTAAAATTGTTGTGGTGATTTGGGAACTGTCTTGCTAGAAGACACAGAAATGAATGTGCAAACAGCCAAGAACATTCTCTTCACCTTGGCCTTTTGGTCTTTGRCCTTTGGACTGTGGCCTTTGGGCTATGGTCAGGTCAGAGCCAACTCTGTCAGTGTGCCCCAAAGCAGCTGTGGCTGTAACTTACCACCATCAGTGTGTGAATKGGTTAATGGGTGAAATATWAAGCACTTTGGGGTCCATATGGACTTAATAAGGTGCTATTTAAGTTCAAGCCATTTACCATTTATGGTCTTTGATCATTTTGGTCTATGGTCTGTGGTCTTTGATCTTTGGCCTTTGGTCTTTGGTATATGGGTTTTGGTGTTTGGGTGGTAAAATTGAGTGCGTTGCAGAATGTGGCCAACATACCTGGCGTTGGCCGGTGTGTTTGGGTTGAAGAACTGATAGGACACTTGAGTGGCGTACCAGGACACAGACACAAGTGTGCACAAACCTGCAGATGATAAAAAAACATTACTTCCTTCATCACAGCTACAACACGCCAACACAAAGGTTTGGACCAAACTTTCAGCATTCTCATGCAAACCAGATTGTTCAGAACATAAAAGCTTGTGACATTTAGCAGAATTTAACTATAATTACATGTTTTTTTCCTCATTAAAATAAATGGAGAATTGTTCACACATTTGAAAAACTTTGAAATCTTCACATCATTTGTTTTATTTTTTATTTTTTGTGTGTTGGACAAAAACATAAAGGCGAGCTTTAACAACATTTTTTTTTATTTGTTTTACTGGCTTTACATTTAAGATACTGTCCTGTAACTTTTATCTACCATTCTGCTGGTCTTTTAGTTACTTTATTTTGCTCATTTTATTTTAGCTTTTGTTTTGATTGCATTAAATTCAATAGCTCAGTTTCAGCTTTTTTAACATAAACAAAGTCATCAGTCAGCATTTAAATTTCCACAGAAAATGCTATTTTTCCAGTTCAGTTGTGGTCTTCTCAGAGATTAGATCTGATTTATGTTTGAGGTCAGCAGCTTAAATGACCACGTCCTGTTTACATCAGGGACTTCCTAACAGGAGCCCATATTTAAGCTAAAAACTGTGAGACATGTTTCTAAATAAAAGGTGATACTTTGTGTCAGAATTTATCAGGTGAGGAACTCATACCTGCAAGCAGAAACAGAGCCCCTCCAGTCACAGCAATACGGGATTTGGTGGATGGATTGTTATCTCCCACCTTGGTGCACTTCATGCCCACCACACTGACGATGATGCCAATAAAGCCCAACAGCACCGACACCACCATGAGAGCCCGGCATGTCTGAATGTGGACTAGATAAAGAAGAGGAAAGGTGGAGACCGGAATTCAAGAGGGAGCAGAGCAGATGGCAGAAAGAAAGAAAGAAAGAAAGAAAGAAAGAAAGAAAGAAAGAAAGAAAGAAAGAAAGAAAGAAAGAAAGAAAGAAAGAAAGAAAGAAAGAAAAAGAAAGAGAATTTTTTTTAGTCCAACACTTAGAAAACCTCAGAACCTTTGGAGGGAGATAATTAGAGAGAAATGCTGAGACACATGGTGGGAGACCACATGATTTAAGAAGGACCGTTAGGGAAAGTCCAGCCCTTTTCAGAGTCTGATGCTCTTTAGCTTTTTATTTTCTAGAGGTGACTTATAGGTGAAGCTGTGGGACCTTAAATCATTCTCCTAATCATCATTCCAATGTGGCTTTGTTTGTCTCAAAYATCTTAATGCGTTGCCCACACAGGACTCAACACACCCAGCTCAGTAGGAAGAAGAGATTGACACACAAACACACTGTGCTCACACAGGCGGTGGCTGTAGGTGGAACGGACAGATGAAAACCCGAGTGGCTGTAGGAGGTCCTGCTTTACATCTTCTACACACTGGAATTATTGTGGCTTTGTTACAAGGCAGGATTGTTTTCATGGGGCCGTCTCCATGGCAATCAGGCGTTATGGTACGACTAGTGCCTTTCATGAACATGAAGCCAAAAAGCTACAATCAAAGAAATAAAAGGACCAGAACTCATGGAAGAAATGACAAATGGATCCTGTCATTTATCTTCTCCCCACAAAAAAAATGGAAATTTGTTAAAAAAAAAAACTCCAGTTGAAGTTTTATTTCTTTGCTCTGTCTGCAGACATAAAGCTGCAAGGAGTACTCACTGATGGAGACTAGTTTACAAACAGCATCCAGGAGGGGGGGAGGGGGCTCTAAATATCTGTGAGGGTCCTCAGTTCCTTTGTGTGAGTCATGAAGACTTGATTTATAAACTTTTTCATGATGAACAAATCAAGCTTCTGTATTTTGTCATGAGCACTAAATAAAAATATACAATTACAAATCTGAGGAGAAGGCTTTTCCCTTCTATTCAGGTCATCTGTGTGCTGACAGGCACATCATGTCTGTCAGCAGAAAATCAGTAATTATTAAATGTAACATGTTCTTGACTTGTGACCAAAACTTTTAGATCTGTAAAACTCCAGGGACCAGTCACTGCAGCCTGACTCTTGCCTTCCTATGCAGCTACGCTCAATTCTAGTTTCGCTTCACTGCTCTGTCTGGGATTTCTCCCATAGACAAGGATTTCTTCGGGAGAATTTTCTTCCGGGCCAATCAGAGAACAGAACGTCGATTTTCTGCGCAGTGTCTGCTTTTAGTTTATTTTGCCTGGGCCAATCAGCAAACAGAAGGCGGAGTTTTGAATGAAGTTGATTTTCTGCGCAATGTCTGCTTTCTGCTAGTTTAACAATGGCAGTGGAGGAAGTGAATGAAGCCAGTCCGTGTTGATAAGGCTTCCAAATTAAAATAAATTTGTCTGAGAAAGCAGCAGCTCTCATTTACAGTCGTCTCGTTCGGCTCGGTACTTTTCTCCTCTCAGTAGGGTTGTTTACAGTGCACACGATTTCCGGTTAGCGTCTTAGCTTAGCCTCCTTCACAGCGACAAACGTCGCGGCCAACCGATCCAATCATTTTAAACTTCAACAGAGGCCACGCCTCCAGCAAGAATTGCATCTCTATAGCCACGAGTCCAGACCCTCGTACAAAACAAAGTGAAGGACAAGGGTCTGGTTTTTAATCAGGCTACTGCAGTCTGGTTTCATCCAAACAAGTATGAACAGGATGAATGTTTATAAGAACTGGCAACACAAGGAAAACAGTTTTACTAAACAGCTTTATAACTTTAATGACAGGACTGTACAATGATGCATAACCTTTTTATAACTTTTTCTTAATTTATACACAATTTATACAAGCTTGAGACAAAGTGCTTTGCCTTTTGCAGAACTTCGGAGCAATGTTAGAGTAAATTGTGCAGAAACAGCTTGTTGGAGCGTGTCGTGACGAGGTATAACATAAATCATGTGGTAAATCAGGTGTAAGTTTTAAATAAGTTAGCAGCACGATAAGCTAATCTGTTAGACATTTTCAGCTTATGTTGATGTGATTCTGCTCAGTTAKACAGAAGTTACAGGTAAGTTATGTCTAAGTCTATATCTGATTTAGAAGTCCTTTAGTTTTTGTCACAGATTTTAAAACGTTTTAGAGATCCATTAGTATTTTTTTTTTTTTTACAGAGAGTACAGAATGAGTTACAACTCACATGTGAGCCATGTGTACAGTTTACTAAACTGTAGGACTGAGTTGTAAATCTGAACACATGATTTCATTAATTTTCTAACAGATTTTTACAAGCTAACATTTTATCATTAACCACGACTCCTGTGGGGCCTGGTAGAATCCTAACTTTCTGCTCCTCTCAAGCTTCAGATGTAACACAACTGTTCAGTGCCCCTTCAAACAGACTCATTCAGCTCCAGCCTGAAGCCTGATTCATCACGGAGACAGAAAGCCACACTCACACTGCAGTCTGATCTGAGCAGTTTTATACTAGCAGGATTAGGATTTAGGATGTTTGAAGTGAGATCTGTGGCTTCACAGAAGCTTTGAGGATGTATTGAAATGGTGTTTAACAGAGAGAGGTTGGATTTTCTGCTGTTACATTAAATTCACAGGGTTACAGCTTCACCTCAGAGGTAGTGTGAGGTTAGGAGCTTTTTTTGGGCGGGGGGTGGGTTAACCCACCCATTATTCCATCTCTTTGTTTGCCAAGACTGGTAGTGCCAACCACAATTTGGTGGGTGTGTGTGTGGGGGTATGGAGCCCAGGTTTAGGCTATATGACCTGTAAATGAATGGAAGTCAGTGCAAAGTCCCTGTAATGATAGAAGAACAAGCGTGGGTATGTGTGAAACTTTTCTACATCTTATTCCCTGAACAACATAAAGACTAATTTTAACCATCTTCTTCACACTCCTCTTCCTCACATTGGGCCTCATGCAAGAACCGTTCGTACGCACAGATTTGTTCTTAAATTGTGCGTACGAGTGATTTAGGAGAATTTGTGGCATTC